GCCTCTCCTAGAAATTATTCTCTAGAATTCCCATGGGGTTCATGGGTTAGTAGTACTCCTGGTCCATGGATAGAAGTCTCTAGACCTCAGTAACTACAAAGAAAACTCACACCCCAACACACATCAGTACCCAAGACATAACCCTATCTCCTTGTCCTAGTTATGACTTGAACTATCCTTATAATAAAAGGGCAAGGGTAAGGAGAAAGGGAAGGAGCAGTTAGGTGATGCAGTAGAGAGAGCTCTGGACCTGGGGTCAGGAAGATTCATCTTCCTGAGTTCAAATGCGGCCTCAGACACTTACTAGCTGTGTCACCCTGGGCAAGTCACTGAACCCTGTTTACCTTAGTTTCCTCATCTGTAAAATGAGCTGGAGAAGGTAATGGCAAGCCATTCCAGTATCTTTGCCAAGAAAACCCCAAATGGGGTCCCAGAGAATGGGACACTTCTGAACAACAACAAAGTAGAAAGAGAAAGTAGACTTAAGGATGCTATGATTTTGCTAGGGCTCCCTACCTCCTGATAACCTTGTTAACCTTTGCCCTGCCACGTGACTGGGCCAGGGGCCCAGATAGGGGCTTTCACACCCAATGACTCACTAACTCTGTAGTTTACTTGCTCATCATTTGGTCTCACTAACAAGATGGCAGCCTATGCCTGTGGTGGGACCTAGGAGATAAATGTTCACGGATGAAGGTCAGCTATTTTGTTAGTTGTGGCTTCCAGAAATGTCACAGGAGTGCTCTGAGGAGTTTCATCCTCATCTTTAAATTCAATTTCATGACTGATCCAACCATTCTGGAAAACACTTTGGAACTCTGCCCAAAGGGCTATAAAACTGTGCATACCCTTTGATGCAGCAATACCACTACTACGGCGGTATCTCAAAGAGATCATAAAAAGCAGAATGCACTCACATGTACAAAAATATACCTACATGTACAAATATATTTATAGCAGCTCTTTTTGTGGTGACAAAAAATTGGAATCTGAGGAGGTGCTCATAATTTGGGAAATGGCTGAACAAGTTATGGAATATGGATGTAATGGAATCCTATTGTGCCATAAGGAATGATGAGCAGCAGATTTCAGAAAACCTAAAAAGACTTGCATAAACTGATGCTAAGTGAAGTGAGCAGAACCAGGAAAACATTGTACACAGTAACAGCAACACTGTTCAATGACCAACTTTGATAGACTTAGCTCTTCTCAGCAATGCAATAATCTAAGACAATTTCAAGGGATTCATGATGGAAAATGCTATCTACATCCAGAGAAAGAAATATGGAATTTGAATACAAATTGAAGTACACTATTTTCACTGTTTTTGTCTTTTTCTTTCTCATGGTTTTTCTCTTTTGTTATGACTCTTCTTTCAAAACATGACTAAGGTGGAAATATGTTTACCATGATTGTACATGTATAACCTATATCAGATTGCTTGCTGTCTTGGGGATAAGGAAGAGAAGGGAGGGAGAAAGAAAAATTTGGAACTCAAAATCTTACAAAAATCAACGTTGAAAACTATCTTTACATGTAATTGGAAAAAAATAGAATACTATTAAGTGCAAATAAATAAATTCAGTTGCAACATGCTCCCAAACAAGTAGAGATCTCCATCTCAACCTCCAGCTGCCATTGTGACACATTAGTGGGTGGGCTGGTCTATGGGGTCACAAGCTCTGTAGATTAGGGGAAGGGATGAGTTGGACTGCAACTCAATCTGTCTGTCAGTCAATCAACAAACACCCAGTTTCCTTAAGATCTAGCTTTAGTGCTCCCTTTTATAGGAAGCCTTTAAAAATCAAATGCTTCCAGCTACCTGTGTCTCCCTTGTAAAATTACCCTACACATATTCATACATGCTTTGTACATATTGTTCCTCAAAAGAACGTAAGCTCCTTAAAGGCTAGCACCAATCCACTTTTGCCTTTCCATCCCTAGCAGCTGACTCAATGCTGGGCTCTTAGTATAAGGTTGTTGATTGGTTGAGTAAGCACCTACTTTGTGCACTAGGAACACAAAGATAAAAGAGACAGATCCTGCCCTGGGGGAGTTTATATTCCCCTAGGAATAGTAATAAGAGAAATCGTTCCCAGAGAAAAAAAGAACAAAGACAGGGAAAAAGGAGAACTTCATCTTATTATCTAGTTCCCAAACCAAAGCCCTTGGCTTGTTGTAATTCATTGAGGGAAAAGTCTGCTGATGCTGCCTCCGATGTCACATTGCTCTACTTTGGGCTTCTCTCTAGAGGTTGATTCTTGCCTCAGCACCTGGAGCTGCTCCAAAGCGAGCGTTTGGCTCAATCTCTGCTGTACCTTCCACACTGATGATCTGGCCACACACTGCAGTGTTCCAGGAGAGAAAATACGGACTGCTTACACATACCCCGGGAAAGACTTACTCTCTCTACCTCATCCCTACAGGCCCTTTTGTCATACATCAGGATGGGAAATATCCCTCTCAAGACTGAACAACCAACAAATCAATTGGGTATTAAGGGGATGCTATGTGCCAAGCTCTGTTCAAAGCGTTCAGAGTACAAAGAAAAAGGGGAAAAAAGCTCAGACCTCAAGAAGCTTATATTTTAGAGGGAGGAAAAATATGTAAATAATTAGAACAAATATAGGGCATATAGAGATACGTACAGAATAGATAGAAGATAATCTCAGAGGGAAAGGCTCAAGCAATAGGGGTTGGAGAGGAGGAGGAGAAACAAGAAATGCCTCCTTCAGAAGGTGGCATTTGAGCTGAGTGTTGAAGGATGAGAGGGAGAGAGAGAGGGAGAGAGAGAGAGAGAGAGAGAGAGAGAGAGAGAGAGAGAGAGAGAGAGAGAGAGAGCCTTTAACTGGTAGCTAGTGGCATGAGAGGCTCTCGCTTAGCTCTGATGCTCATAGGTCATGTAACTAAAACAGTCTTTTCCAAATATACCTTGGAAGTATTATCAACAATCAACGAATTATAAAGGAGCTACCTAATGGAAGATTTTTAAACCAGAATTTTATGCAATTGCCAAAAGCAATTAAATACAATTCAGCATTATGTATCACATCATGCATGCTATACAGGCATTAAGACTAACATATGAGAAGAAAATAAATCCAGAAAGACCTTTATGAAACATAAGGCTGGGGGCTGAGTAAACTCAGAAGAACATTGTATATATTGTGACCATATAAAGGAAAAATTAATTAGAATGAATGGACAGCAGGCCCTGGTCTCCTGAAGGAGTGTTAGAGGGAGAACAGAGGATGAAACACATCTCATTCCTTTTGGTACAGAAGTAAGGGGTGAAGGGTGCAAGATGTCACAAACACTGTCAGATATGGTGGTTCCATCAGTCGGTTTTGCCTGCTGGTTTTTCTCTGTTAAAATGTGGGTTCTGATTTCAGAGAGAGGTGTAGATCCCGAAATGACTGAGATGAGAAAACAGAGGGTATCAATGAAACTTCTATTAAAACAAAATAAAATCAATACAATAAAATAAGGAAGCTGGAGTAAATTATCTCTAAGGTCCCTTACAAGTGTAATCTTTGATGAATCTGTGGATCTAGAATCTTCACAGGTCAGTTGAGAAGGAGGCTATATCCAACACATGTTTTCCCAGAATCTTCAAGTGGCAAGAGACCTCCAAGGCCATCTTATCCATTTTTTACCTGAAGCAAGAATCCTGTCTATTACAGGCCAACACGTGATGATCCAGCCTTGGATGAAAGGTTTCCAGTGAGGGGGAAGTTCATTGTTTCCTAAGACAGCCACTCTACTCTTACAGAGCGCTAATTGTTTGGAGGGTTTTTTTTTCCTTTATCTGACAACATGCCTAAATTTACCTCTGCAACTTCCATGATACTCAGTACTGAATCCTGGGGCCAAGCAGATCCAGTCTAATCTTTCTTCTCTATTCCAGACAGTCTTTCAAATCCTTTAGGACAGCTCTCATTTCCTTCCATTTTCTTAAAAAAAGAAATCTCTAGGCTAAATCATTCCAGTTTCTTTAACCAGTCTTCAGATGTCTTGGTTTTGAAGGCCCTTAAGCAAGAGACACCAGGGTCAGAGGCAGTGGGACCCCTTCAGTCCTGGAGTGATGGTCACCAGCCCTCATGCTCTGCATACTGGACAGAGGCTGTGACCTCCTCACAGCCACACAGTTCACTGCTAACCCAGCTGCAATTCAAATCCAGGTTTTCAGATACCAAATCCAAGAGCCCGTTATCCTACATGCTAAAGGGCTCTGGCTATGGGCATTGGTGTCTCTGCCCAAACCAGGGCCATGCCAGTCCAGAAGATGCATGATGCCAATAATAATAGCTGGCATTTATATAACAGTTGAAAGTTTGCAAAAACACTTACATGCATTATCTCATTCCTTCTTTCCTTCCACAAGCTGTAATTGAGGATTCACCTTGAACAAGCAGGGTCAAAGACAAAGGATTTTTGGCCCCTGAAGTACCGGAGGAGACAAGCCAAATCTAGGTGACCTATCCAGAGAAGTTTGAGATCTGTCATGTACGGAGGCTATGGAGTTTGATGAGAGCTGGTATAGTGCTTTAACATTTCAAAATACTTCGTGAAATCAATCAGTAAACACTCAGCGAATGCCTGCTCTTTCCAGCCACCAGGCCAGGTACTGGGAATGGAGTCTCTCATCTGAGCCCTCTGACAAATTGTGCCACAGTGTGATTATGTCCACTTTGCAGATGAGAAAACTGAGGATCCGAGGGATCAAGTTATTTGCATAGCTTCCAAGTGTCAGATTTTAGCCTAGGTCTTCCTCACTTAAAACCTAGCATTCTACTCATTATCCCATATTGCCTCTGTGTGATTAAGGTAATGATAACAGGATCATAGATTTAGAGGTAGAAGAAACCCTGGAGGCCACGGAGTCCAACTCCTGATTTTACATATGAGGAAACTGAGGCACATAGAGGTTACTTGTCCAAAGTCACATAAGTAGCAGGCGTCAGAGGCGCGATTTGAATGTGTGTCCTTCTGTCTCCAAGTACAGGGTCCTGTTACAACACCAGTTGGCTTGTTGGGGTGGAGGATGAGTCCTGCTTCCAGTGCTTGACGTCCAAGGTTCACACCTCTGGGTGAGCTCCAGAACTGCCCTGGACTTGACAACAGGTGAGTCTTGTATTCAAATTCTGCCTTTGATACTTCCTAGCTCTCTCATCATGGGCCTTATGTCTAAAGTGGAGATACCGATAACCATTGTTCCTGCCACCTGGGTTGTTCCAAGGATTAAGTAAGAACATGTCTATAAAACCCATTCCAGACCTAAAACCAGGGGTGGGGAACCCTCATATGAATGGCAGCTGTTATTAAGAAAGATCATGAGGCTCCCACACTAGGGGGATTGGCACCCTTCACTGTGGGAGTGGAGACCAAGTGGTCATAAAAGTCCATGGAAGTCAGAAAAGAGGGGGCAGATGGAGGAATTATCTAATATATCCTAGAATCCTAGAGAACAACTAAGTTTTGCCATTTCTTTCCAGCCTGGGTCAGGAAAACCTGAGGAAGAAGTATGTTCCATCCAGCTTTTATCTGCATTTAGTCACCTTAAGAATTGCAGCAATTCACATTTCTATGACCTTGAAGGTTCACAAAACATTTTCAGCATGGCAACCCTTCCAGGCAGGGAGAACAAGTGTTATTATTATGCCCACTTTGCAGGTGAAGCAATTGAGTATCGCAGAGTTTAAGCGACTTACACAGGGTCAGATAGCTGGTGTCAGAGCTGGGATGTGAACGTAGGGTTACTGACTCCAAGGCTAGCATACCACCCACTACTTCATGAAAGATACAGAACATGGGCAACTTCCTGGGAGTGGAATTTTAAGGATGGGACCTGAAGAGTTCACAGTCTAATTAAGGAGACAAGACAGGTCCAAGCTGGACAGTAGCCTGTGGCCCTGGGTGTACATGGAGCAGCATGGTACCTGCCAAGAAGTACCAAGGATGGGAGCAATGGGATAGGGTGGTAAGAAGAGAAACTTTATCTACTTCACACTATTGTTTCTATCCAGCCCTGAGTATCTTTAAGTACATATATCTGTGGCTTGCATTATTGACATCAAGGACTTCCTGAAATCCCTTAGTCCTATTCTGTTACTTAACAGATATAAGAAATCTAAGGCCCAAAATGGTGAAGTGAACTTACCCTAAATTCTAGAGGCAATAACTTATCCCAAAGGCAAGTCTTGAATGGTGGAATTTCAGACAGCATCATAGGCCAATGGGGAAGATACTTTGGGCCAAGATGGTCTTTGAGAGTCCTTAAGGGTGGGAAGTAGGCATCCTTCTATCCCATGTACTGATTACACTGCCCATCTAGATTCCAGAATCCTAATTCTGAAGCTAGAAGGAATGTAGAGAATGTTTGTGCTGGGCTATCTCCCTACCTTGTATACTTAAGGGCATTGCTTAACCCTTACAATTAGAATTCAGTTTTAAACATACTTGAGGACTGCAAGTCCACTAGCAAGACTTTTCCTCTGGAAGCAAAGGTGTCAGTAGGGTGGCTAGCTGAAAAATCCCTCCCCAAAATAGCATCAAGCTACTGGGGGGAGAGGAGCTCTGTGAATCTGAAATTAGCATGAGGGTTTTAGCAGCAAGGAAGGAGAGAGATAAATTCTTAGAAGCTTATGTCCCCCAAACTATGGTGGACCACATTTTCCCCATCTTTCTTCCCTAGTCATGTAAGACTCTGGCCACTGTACCTCCAGGGAAGAGTAAACAATCAGTAGGGGCATGACCGTGTTGCCCCAAAGAGTCTTGGGTGGTCTATAATTAGGCCTCATACCACTTGGTATCTAGGACGCCAAAGGCATCTACAAGGGTTTCTGAATGGAGATGACATGTCTTGTAAATTCAGCCTCAGAGCCCCAGGGATGCTCTTTCCTGTTAGAGGCCAATCTGGCACCATGGGGGAAAGCTGTCCTGCATCTTTGTTAGAGATGAGGAAGCCAAATTCACTCACTAAGATTTACCTATTAAGGGTATCGGGGTGGGTACTCACTTATGCCAAGATTACAATATTTGGGAGGGGTGCGCTTGGGTAAGGACATCTTGTTTAGGCCAGTGGCTCCTCCTCCCCACCCCATCATTTGTATGGAGTTGAAATCTTGCTGAAATGAACACAGAGGGTGACCGTACAGGAGAAGAACAGCATTAGTGCACCACGGAGCCCTAGGAAGGGTGAGGGAGGGGAGGGGAGCCAGGTGTAAACACCTCGGGTATCTTCCCCCTAGATGACAGCTAGTTCCTGATCCCTGGTTGTTAGTAGTAAAGGCCCGTCCACAATTCATAGGTGAGTCACAATGCTATTCACCTGGTGACTGGGTAGCTGATGTTTGGGACCTCCAATAGTCCCAATGACCAGACAGCAATAATAATAACAGCTAACATTTATATGACGCTGAGGGTTTGCAAAGTGCTTTATGTGGTATTCCATGTAATCCTCTCAATAACCCCAAGAAGAAGGTGTTAATATTACCCCATTTTACAAATAAGGTAACTAAGGCAGACATGCCTTAGTTAAAGGACTTGCCCAAGGTGACACAGGAAATAAGTGGCAAATGAGGCCTTGAACTCAGGTCTTCTTGACCCAGGTCCAGCTCTCTCTTTATTGCACCACTGAACTACCCCATGTAAGGTCCTAGGATTTAGAGCCAGAAGGGATACAAAGGAACATCAGGTTCAACCCCATTTTATAGATGAGAAAGGTGAGACCCCGAAAAAGGAACGAATCACTCAGGGTCACCCAGGCAGGACGTGGCAGAGATGGACTTCATACGATGGGCCACATCTGGGAATGGGGTGAGTCATTCAGTTCAACGAGCATTGATTAAGCACCTGATGTGTACAAAGTGAAAGGTAGCCTGGCAAGGTGGCTAGAGAGCTGGTCAGGAAGCCCTGGGTTCAAGTCCTGACTGACACCTATTGGCTGTGTGACCCTGGACAAGTCACTTAGAGATAACAAATGAGTTGCCGATCTGCACTAGTAGACAGAGTTTCCATGTTGGGAGCTCCCTATGCCAATGAAATCACAGCTTCAGACCATGTAAGAGGCATTTTATTAAGTGTAGAGACACAAAGGCAAACATTAAACAATCCCTGCTCTCAAGGAACTGAGGAGAAATGTATGTATGTTATACATATAATCAGTGTGGAAAGAGCTATAGCATTGATCTGTGATTTATTCCCCGGGTGACCCTGGGCAAGCCACCTTACCTCCCAAGCTCTTATTTCCTCCAGTGTAGAAGGAGGTTAGACCAGCTGGCCTCCAAGGCTCCCCAGGGCTCTCCCTCCCTCCCACCCCGCCGTGCTCCTTCGCCACCACAATGTTCACACAGAGCAATGTCAGCAGGAGACGCTCTCCCCAGAAGTGTCTGGCACAGGGGGCTGTGGGTTTTGTTCCTCCTCCCTTCTGCCAAACTGCCCTGATCCAGGCAGCGGTTCTGTTTTCAGAAATCACTCTGAGCCCTGCGGGGCTGAAGGCACAGTGTCAGCCTGGACGTTTCCATTCTAATCTTTGGGCTCAGTGAGTGACAGCAATGTCAGCCTGGTTTTCAATCTTTGGGCTGCATTTCATTACAAGGTGGCATGAGACAGAAATGCCTGGAATGATTCGGCAAAGACAGACATTGTCGCTTCCTACCATTAAGGTGACCTCTTGTCAATGCATCCCCCTGGCCATTTCCATTTCCAGTGGGAAATACATAGCATAAATGGGGTGATTCAAGAGGCACCCTACAGCTCTGTGCATCTCAAAATGCCCCACTTGTCACCTGCCATGGTCCCAGAAAATGCTTACTATCCTAGCTATTCCTGGGGCTTGAGGGTTGTCTCCAGAAAGCCTCAGTCCAATGCAAATACACTACCTAGGATGTGGAACACGTTCACTGTCAGTCGGCATCCTCCTCGTCTCTCTCCTTCCTGGGTTTCCAGGATGACACTGCTCCAATTACTTTCTATATGTACCAGCTTGCTTAGATTGGCTACCTCATGCCCCCAGTGCAGGGAAGCCCCAACAGGTCAGCCAGCCCCAGCTATCCGTTCCATATAGCTTTTATATCCACTGTCTGCTTACGTGTTGCTCTTCCCCACAGATCGTAAGCATCATGAAGGCAAGAACTTGTATTTGTTTGTCTTTGTAGCCCCAAAACCTAGAAAAGCTCTTGGCACATTTTGTCGGTGTTCTGTTGTTTCAGTTGTGTCCAACTCTTCGTGACCCCATTTGGGGGAGGGTTGGCCATTTCCTTCTCCAGCTCATTGTACAGATGAGGAAACTGAGGCAAACAGGGCTAAGTGACTTGCCCAGGGTCACACAGCTAAGAAGTATGTGAGGCTGGATTTGAACTCATGACACCAGGCCTGAGGCTCTATGCACTATGGCACCACCCAGCTGCCTTCTTAGCACATAGTAGGTTCTTAATAAATGATTATTGAATTGAATCTATTTTCATGTTAACAAGGCCTGAGCTGTAGCCAAGTAAGACTAAGGCCCTGGATAGTTTGCAACTTGTAGAGGGAGAGGGCTAACTTCACTGAAGGGTTCACAAGGCAGGTCCTTGAGTCCTTGACCAGGCTCCCAGGTACCATGAAATCTTTGTTTTGTCTCAGCAGAATTAATGAAGCCAGGCATAAAACCACTAGCACTGGTAGACATTGGTGTAGACATTCAACTGTTGTTATTATTGTTTTGTAATTACTCCCTAGAGCTGTAATTCCCAACAGCTGCCCCACACTCCTGACAAATCTGCCCAAATTCCTTTCTTTCTACACCCGTTGCCAATTCCTTTGCTAAAATAGGGGGTCTGCCTACCCTGGGATCCCACCAGCTATTCATCTGTACTCAACAATACTGGGAAAGAAAAGATTAAAAAATAGCAGTAAGAAGAAATTGAAAAAGAGAAAAACAGTGCTGACTGGGGGAGAACAGAAGGCATTTGTGAATGATTTGATGTTGGCTAATGTTCTTGTCAATTTATAAGCAAATAATAAGGTCCATGAATGAGCCTGGGAAAATCCATCTTGGAAACAGGATATTGAAGCCCAAAGAAACTTTTCACCTGTGGCTTTCTAGGCCCTCCATCATCTGACTCTACTTAGCTATCCCATTG